GACGGTAAACATCGTTAGGAAACCGGCTTGCCATAGACCCCAAAAAATCGACGGCGTGTGTCAGGTACAGGAGGCTGATCACCTTGTTGCCTATTAGATTGACAAATGATCATGAAACAGATAAAAAGAAATCTAGAAACCTTAAAAGGTTGTAGCGCCCCACTGATTTATTTATTTTTAATTTTTAAATACTAAAAAAGGAATAACTAATTATAATACTCTAAAGCATAACTTCATAATAATTTATTATTATTATTAAAGAACCGATCAGTCTTTTTTATTACATCGCCGACGAAAAATCTATAGAAATAAATGGGTATTTAGAAAGGTTCTATAAGATTGTATAGTTTTGTTATGTTTACAATGTCTACAACGTTCTTAATATCATAATTACAAGGTTTTTAAACAATATATATGTTAAAATAATGACTGTGCATCATTAAAAATGCTTGGGCGCTTTCGTAACGCTTTTTCTCAAAAATAAAAACCTATTTCGCTAGAGCCACAGGTCCGCTTCATTTTTAGAATTAAATTGTTTTACTCATAATTTATGAATGCGATGTCCATAAAAATATAAGCATAATTTTAGAAGTCTCATTGTGTGGTCTTAATGATCATTATTGATCAACGCGAGCACTACCTATCGCCATAACTTTTGTAAATCCAAAAAGGTCCAAGGTCAACCGCGATATTCAGGCTCTGAAGTACCTACACGTAAAATCAACTCCGAAATAAAAACTGCATATTTATTTAGAAAAATCTAATCATTAATTGAAACGCCAATTAGGTTTACAGACTTAATAATATAAGAGAGAGAGAATGCGTGTAGCGTTGTGAGTGTGTAACTGAAGCCTGTGTGTTGGAATCGGCTTGATTTAGTGACATTAAATGTCTGATAGTGTTTTAAGGATATCATTTTTAAAAAGTTGCGAGGGTAATTGAATTAGTATTGAAATAAAGTCTTTGTATAGTGCAGGTAGCCGATTAAATAATTAATGTTTAGTGTAGTTATGAAAGTAAGAGGAACTGCGAGCAGTGGGGTATTTTCAAGTCCTTGTATTAAAGGTTATATAGCAATTGAGGACAATCTAACTATAACGTGATTTAATTTTCATCGCCTTGTAGCTTTGGCGATTTTTGTCTTGACGCAACAAATCTTGATATGCTAAGTGCAACTAATTCTATGTAATATTGTATCAGTTAAGATGCTCAGTATAATCCGTTATCAGTAGAAGGATGATACAAGTAGATTTCCAAGAAACTAAAGCTCGTTAAACTGTATGCAACCCCGTTGTCTGTTCCTAGTACATCCGGCGAACAATATCATAACGTTATTAAAGGCTTTTGCACAACTAATAATACGTAATAACCTTATTTGTATCCTATATATGTATGTATTAAATTTCTTAGAGAGCTTGTGATTTCCGTTTTGTAAAATTGCAATTGGAATAAAATGAATTTTGTCTTGAGAACAGCAGTATCTTAGGTATCGTAAACAAGAAGTTTTGAACCCAATTTGAGATTTACATAGTTATACAGACATATGCGTTCAGTTTATAAACTACTAAAATCGTTGTAACATTTATGTGTATTATTTACACTATCCTACTGTAAGATACACGAGATTTTTGGGTTTAAGACATGCCGGTGTCCTTCACCAAATAAGCAAGTGTTAATTGATTATGAATCAATAATTCATTCAAACACAACAGCTTAGAACACCCGACCTCATGGAAAATCACAAACTGGCTTAGGGGTCTAAGCCATCACGATATAATACGTCTAATAATATAGGAACATAAAAGGCAAAATTTATATCAACATTCCTGATCACAACATTATTACAGTGCATTCGATAAACAAATATGTTATAAAATCTGAGCCAGACTTCCGCTGCGCAATATTTTAAAAATATTTAGGAATACTTTAGATTCATGTGTCTATGTTCGTTAAAATAAAGTGTACGTAACATAATATATGATTTTAAATCCTTTATGCTAATCTATACAGTGGGAAGGGCGTGGTATAACGCGAATTTCTAGGTTTGATTCCCGGCGTAAATTTAGATGCCTTAAATATGAATAACGCCGTACCTTCCCCATTTTATACTTTTAAGTTTTTTATACCTGTTGTGAACAGTGTGGGTTAATGACAAGGACACAAAAAGGAATGCTTAGGTCATTTGGCCATGTAGAACGGATGAATGGGAATCAGTTACAAGGCAACAGTGGATGGAGAATTTGGGTAGGGTAGCCCTTGTCGTACATTCAAGATTCAAAACCTTTATTTCAACTAATACAAGAGAAAGTTAACAAAATATAAATGTATATAAAAAAAGTTCTTTAAGATGGTTTTATTGCACAGCTGTCCTCTTGTACAGCTTGCCTTTGTGGCACAAAGGCCTCCTCCAGCTGTTTCCAGTGCTTTCTATCCCTAGCAAGTCTTTGCCACAGAGGACCAGTGGCTTTTTTAAAATCATCATCCCACCGCGCACATGGTCTTCCTCTCTTTCGCTTGGTGTTGTAGCGAGGTGTTCATTGAGTGACTTTTTTCGACCATTTTGCTCTCTGGCCTCTTCTGAGCAGGTGTCCTGTCCATCTCCATTTAAGCCTTTTGGCTCTGGTCATTGCATCTTCCCAGTTGGTGATCCTTCCTACATAACTGGACCAAATCCAGGACGTTCTCGTACAAGTTACATGGTGAATGTCATGAAATCGATGAAACATCGAATGATCGAGAGGTAAGCCAGTACCGTAGCAAGTGGAGTCTTTGCCTACCCCTTCGGCATCCAGGCGTGTTGATAAATCAATAAAAAAAAATCTATATCAAGTAGCTCAATATAAAAAGTCGTATAAGTATTCAAGGTGCAAATTTAGCTCGCTTTCTCTAGTTTGTTCAAATTCTGATGTATAAATCAGACGCCAGCTTATGTTAAAAAATTATACGTTCCTTTAAAAGGTAACCAAAACTAGAAATCGAATGTTATATTTTAACACCTTTGTTCGTAATTATTCTACCTTTACGAACGTGCTCTGGCCACGGCGTTCCGCGTTATAAATTACAGTAAATAGTTTCAAGTTATAATGTGGAGTGCATTTCAGAGGAAAACATTGTGTATTTCTATAATATATTTTAAATTATAACTGCTATGAGAAAAAAATATTTTTATAACGGATACGAAAGGCCTTCATATATATAGTACAGTACATATGTAGAGACGGCTCTTGAGCTGGTTCCTGCTACCGAATTATATGATCATGCAACTTTGTTACCTAATACCTAGCAGGGTGCGTTCGTACAATAGATTATAAAACAAACTTCGACGATACTAAGAAAAATGCATTCACTCTATTCCCATACACTTACTGGACCGAAGCCTATAAAAGAAAACCCTACAATCCTTACACCTTACCCGCATGCTTTAGCAGAATGCTTACTACCTAAGAACATTCAACGTTAAGTTATGTTACTACGTATACACAATATTGAAAGAACTACACAAACATTTCGTTTACCCTACCCTCAAATGTTCCATTTATTATCAGTTTATGCCAATGAAATCGCAATTAAGTAAACTGTAAACATATAAATCAAACACGTACCTTATTGCTTTTGGGTTTATTTGATAATATGACGTAGTCAGTGGCCAATATCAAATAGGCATAATTACTTCTGAAAAATCACATCCTGTATTTTATATTTTGTGAACGTTAAATGACCTGAATACAATATCAGTATTCAAACAAATAGATATACGTATTACGTACATATGTTTTATAAAGGTTAACCTTTAGTCGATATAAAGTAGGAAATGTATTTACACTACATAAAAAAATAAAAAACATGTGCTAGTTCTCACTTAGATTGGAACGATTATAAAAAAGCGGCTGAAATTCTTGGCTAGTTCGATTTAGACCAGGGCGGTTACAAAAGGACATTTAAATTAAAGTGGAATATATAATATCTTTAAGTCAAATTAAGGTATATTCAAAAGGAGCCAGCGAAAAATAACTTACGCGCATGATTAAATTTTCTTATTCATCACAATTTAACCACTGCCGTATCATTAATTACACGTTACATTTAAAAAATTTAATTAGACTCAACCATTTAGCGGTTATCCAACGAAGTATACGGTTCAAATAATATAATGTTGTATTGGATTTAATGAATCGAATTGCACCACATATTCCAGAAATAGATTAAATTCGAATTCCGCGTGAGATGCGATCGCGCGTACATAAATCCAAAAACATCTTAATAACGCTAAAATAGCTTAAAGCTGCAATTAGTTAAGCCAGCAGACGAAGTATTTACATTTCTTATTGGTACACATTCTTGTAATACACCGTTCTGTAGGTGCATGACAATGTAATATAACAAGGGTGCGGTCACCTGGAAAGGAATGTCTGACTATAGTAATTATTGATTTATTATTATTAAGTATTAACGTAGGTCCACGTTGACGACTATATACAGAAAATGTATTTGTAAATGATTAAAGACATCATAAATCACAGATTTTTTGGTAGGCAGTTATTGATTAAATCATTTTTAAGACAACGTTGAAGGAATTTTGCCTTGTTAGCTTCCTTATAATGTGAATAAGTAACTGCATATTACCGAAGCAAACGCAAAGTTATAATTGATAGGTGTAAGGTGCTAAACTGTAATAATTAAGAAATAGGCCGTAAATTAGAACGCAGGACGCTATCAGCTCAACGATAGCCTTGCTAATTCACACAAACGTTTCTTTAGCACTATTCGTGACCCGCACCGCATATCTGATAACACTCTGATAACGATACCTAACTGAGTCACATATCTACTGACTTGCAAGTAATACACTCGGATTTATGCATTAATTCAATATTAAACAAAAATCAGAACCAGGTTTCTTAGTGTGCGATTAACTTTCTATATATTTTCTTCATAATATTTAATATCAATAAAAAAATACTGATTTCAGGAAGACCAGTACCTTGAGATGGTGACGTGACATGTTAAGCATGCGGTGGGTGATCTGGTGGAATATTCTAATAGCGCTCTACGCGCCAGGTCCTTCCATAGGGCAGACAGCCACGCCGACCATCTGCGAGGATGAATCCTGCCGCTGTGACTCATTTACAAGGGTCATATGCAGCTGTACGAAGGAGTTAGAGGTGTGTACGGATTTCTAGTGCCATCTATTTCCATCGTATTAATTGTATTCCTCGTGATCCTTGATCGGGTAGCCATTATGACTAATGGTTCTCATTCTGTTTTATCTAAATCATATATGTAACATATATAATATATACATATATATTAATAATCTTATAATATCTTACAGGAAGTGACTCTCAGGCCACAAGGTGCTTATAGAATACCACCTATGACCACTGGTATAAGCATAGAAGGATGTCATAGTGTAACATTTCTTCAAAATACTATTCGAAGTCTTATTCAACTAAGAACTGTAGAATTAAAGAATATCAGCAACATCATGATCCGCGAACGAGCTTTGGATTGGTCTCCCTTTAGCAGAGACAGTGAAATGAATCCAGGAATTCGGTTAACAATAGAAAATAGTACTGTAAGTGAAATAGCATCGCACTCTATTCAAGGAAGAATCAACGAAGTGCTCATCAGCAACAGCCGAATTATTAATTTACGACCCTTCGCGTTTTCTAGTCTAACGGGAGTGAAAAGTGTCGAATTCATTAACAATGATTTTATCAATATAGACATACAGACTTTTAAAAAGTTTACTACATCTAATTTTATAATACGCGGTGGAACTATACATAATTTACCAAGTAGATTTTTATCAGATGTAGAAGTTACTAATTTATTTCGACTAGATGGCGTAAAAATAAAATATTTATCAAGTTTAACGTTTCTTGTCACCGCACCAAAGAGAATTTTAATAGAAAATAATGTTATTGATACAATAGAAGGTGATTGCTTTCACATGGTTTCTAGAGGTCCGATAACCTTTAGAAATAATTCTGTAACTGTATTAAATAAGGGAGCTTTATTAGGTTTTTCTGTGCAAAGGGAAGTAATAGCAGTAATGGGGCGTCAAGAATTATTAATAGATAATAATACAATAACTAATTTAACTCCCGCCGCTTTAGTGTATAATCAAACAGTTCTTACAATGCGTGTTGATGGACTAAATTTAAATAATTCTTGCACTTGTGAGCTGGCAGAAGAATGGCATGATATTTATAATAAGCAAGGCGGAATTATAAACTGCTGGTACGAATTGGAAGGATATTTTATTTCGCTGCCAACTTTCGTCAGTATACGATGTGGAACCTTTAAACAAACGTTTTGGATCTTTGTCGCGGTAGGCTTTCTATTTATTGTATTAGCGGCCGGCATTGCTATATTTTTCATAGTCAGAAAGGAGAATGAAAAGAAAAAGAAATTACAAATAGTTTTACCAGACGGTAAGACGTATAAAGAAACTGAGTTTCATGTTATCGTGGAAAGAGCTGAGCTACTTACGACAGACTTGTGAGAATAGTGATCATATTCCTAACATGTAAAGTTAACGTATAGTTGCATAGAAAACTGTCCTAATCAAACATTCCTTGAGAGGAGAGTTAAGTACATACTTCTACCTCAGGTAATCAAGTAAATGAGGATGTGCCAAGTCCGGTTAAATTTAGTCTCCAACAGTATTATTATGTAAATTTAAAACAGGTTAGTCTAGACTTAAGTGGTTTGTAATAAATTTATTAATAAACAGTACAGCAACAAAGCTCCATCATTAATCCCCTACTTATTAATTATGTAAACTAATGCATGTTAATAATTGATATATATGTATATAAAATTCAGTGTTGGCTTAGCGGCTCCAGCGTGCAATTTTTATTCCTGTGGTGATGCCTGGCTGTGCGCATTTAATACTCGCTCGTACGGTGAAGGAAAACATTTGTGAGGAAAATGCTTTAGTCACAAATAGTCGGCGGCGTCTCAAGCACAGAAGGATGATCATCTACTTGCCAATTGGAAAAAAAAATCACGAAACAGATAAGAGATCTGAGGCCCAGACCTAGAAGGCTGTAGCGCCATTGGTGCATGAAATGCTATGCATAAACATGTAAAAAGACAACTTTAGTTAAAACTTATTGTTTTAATGTGTTTAACCTGAAAAATTAAAACCGAAAATCGAAACCGATAATGTAAATAATTTTATTTGAAAGCAAATGTGTTTAAATAACTACTAAAATACATGTATTACACTTATCACGTGGTTTAGTTAGAAATTTGTATTCATTATTAATATAGTGCTTCTAGCGAATTTTAATTATAATTTAGATGTTATTAAAAATATAAGTGGTACTTATGTAGTCATTGCGAATTTATGGGTTTATAAATTTTACGTAACCACTATAATACAATTGCAGAGAAATTGTCAACATAGATTTTTATCGCCTTTATACGTACTGTATGTAACGTAGTCATTAGGTATATGACTCATTAAAATTTCAACGTCGCTTGCCGTTATATAATATATTTTCATACAATACAATCGATCTTACTTTCCTAGTAATATCTCATACTCTGACTGAACTATTATGAGCGTCGCTTTTGCAGTCCTTGATATATTTTTATGTTCTATTATAAGAATGCACCTGAATCATATCGATTACAACGATGTTTACAGCGAAAATTATTATGACCTTTTGCATCATACACAATTGTGTAATTATGCTGATTTATTTTTATAATTAATGGTTTTCCCTCAACTTTTAAAATAAATCAGTCATTAGTGCTGTTCTCTTTACAATACAGCTTAATTATGCAAACAGAAAGAGACGGATGAGTACTTAAGTTAAAAATTGAGCTGATTTGGTTTTTATGAATAAGTAATTGGTTAAGCTACGCTATTTCTTTTGAAGTACAACTATTTTCTCTACTTCGAGATTTATTTATCTGCTGTATTTCTTGCAATCTAATGATTTATCAGGCTTTGTGAATATAATTTGACCTTAAATGAATGTATATTACATGATTGTATAATCATTAGCTTTGTACTTTTCCCGGGTAAATGTCATTACATTACGATTACTAATTATTATAAAATAGGCGATCTTACGGGACAGTTATAAAACGCAGATGCAGCCCAAGATGGTCATGGTCACCAATTTTAGTGGGTGCAGTACTACTTCCTCAAAAGCCGGCACTTTTGAGGAAGGAAGTAAGATCTCTCTTTAAATAATTGCAGGTCGTATTTCCCAAGGAATACCGCCACCGGGAGCCGATTCCACAGTTCGATAGTTCGCAAAAGAACTAGCGAACGCTCAAAGTAACAAGTATACTAACAAATACTGTCTAATGTAATATTCGTAGAACGTAGGATCGCTGTGCGGTGTAACAAGTTGCATTGAATAGAGAATAAAGTTTTCCATTTCCGTTTATATCTGTCCTCTCGTAATAATGGTAAAAAACCACCCAGGCCACCGCGAGGCATTTATTTAAGGCTAATTTGATTGGTTGACACTGGGGTCAACTAGGTAGCGGTCTACAGTCCATTAGTGCGTCGGTTGTATATTATGGATAAATATATCTTACATAATAATAGTTCAGATTCGATCGTTAAAAAGTTTAAGCGTCAATGACGTGCCTGACTGAATGCGCTATATGCCATAACTGCGAAATTTATTTTGATACTTTTACAAAAATCTTTATGCACCAGCAATCCATATAAAGTAAATAAATCATAGAACGTATTATAGGATTAAGATATTTTTTACCTATTCATAAACCCCAAATATGACTGATTGAACCGTTCTAAAGTCTCTTTTCACTACAGCGGAATTACATATGACAGTAAGGTACGGTACATTTAGAAATATTCGACTGATGTAGTTTTTATTGAGGAGGGAGTTAGTATATATATTCATGTTCTCTTTTAAGTTTTAATAGCAACCAAACATCTGAGGAATACTAATAATGATATTATATACCTACGCATAGATCTAAAGGATCGTGGTAACAAAAAAATAAAAAATATGTCCCACGACATTAAATTTTAAACTGCAGGCATCCCTACTCATCGGCAAAGAAGACAGAGGGTGTAGGCCGAGAGAAAAAGCCGGCGTAAAAAACTCTGGGTCCTCTTTTAAAATAGCAAATCATCAAACAACACTTATTTTAAAACAAATATCGCAATATAACAAAAGTTAATCGTTCGCCATCATAATGATCAGTGATTTAAATACATAAATACAAGATGAATAATATCTTTTACTGACTATAAAATTATTTTTGTAATTTCGCAAACATACTTCGTTGTCGTAACCCAAACACTTTTTTTCGGGCAGGGGCTCACTGGAGCTCACCGGGCTCATCTGATGTTAGGTGATATAGGCTCGGAAGTGCTTGCCGGCCCTTTAAGAGGGGATTGGCTCCGGGATAACGTACTTACAAAAACGATGCGAGGTTGCAAGTGAACTCACTAAAAATATTTTTTATGTTGTATTTGCAATATTTTTTTAACGTTTCAACCGTTAATCGGACACTTGGCGTTTAGTTTTTGTCTTTTTTTATAAATCTAATTTTTTTTTATTTTAATTCGCTCTGTAAAACATAACAACGTCAGAACGGCGATTGAAGACTCGTACCATGGCACGTTCAGTTAATAAACCTGTAAGTTTAAGGGTACTCACCGCAATAAAGCTTGACCATCGAGTACATTATGAACAGTGGGCGGCGAAGGCAAGTCCAGTCCACGGTAAAGAAACATGGCTTCGCTCTCATCAGCCCCATCGGCTTCGCCTCCTGGACTGTTGCCCATTCCCGCTAGCATTTGAAGTTCCACAACAGTCACTGAAACAATATAGTGTGTGACTTTTTGTTTTTTCATTAAAATCTACCTGACGTATCTATAAAGTTGTGCTAGCGACTAGCACGGTAACGGCTGCAGACTTTTAAAGTAAAGTAAAAACTTTTCTTTCTCTTTCGATATTTTTCACACTAACAATGTAAACTTAAATAGTTGAAGCTTTAAGCTATCTCTTCCAGTGTAACCCAAAACAATTTTCTACTAATGCTATAAAAACGTTTAAATGAAAAATTTACGATTAATAAATATCGGTTATGGTACCGCAAGCATGTCGCGTGAATAACCACATTAAAACTTTTAAAGTGTTTCATATCAAAGCGGTGCCTCTAATTTTAGTGCTACATTTAGCAAAGGTTCTTTCGATCGTCTATTCCGTAGAGACGCCCAAGGTACAGGCAACTCTCCTCTAATAAAGGAACCATCCCTAGGTTATGTAAACCCGAGTACATTCTACAGATTAATGTTACAAAATATCAAGATTGTAGCTACTATTTTTTATTTTTCAGTAAGTTTTTTAAGTACGTTTTATTAAAATATTATATAGTTGGTGAATGGACTTAACAAATCATAAATAACATTATTTAAAGTAAACGAATCACTTATCTATCAAATTGTGTGCGGAATACACGTATGGTTTAATTAATTAATTATACTTTAAGTAATTTAAGTATAATTTTAAGTACGAGCTGAGGTTTGCCTAGAACAGGGACAAAACTTTAAAATTTATTCTATTCTCTATTTATTGAATTTTAATTATTAGTATTTAGGTTAAGTATATTGTTAATACATTAAAAAAAATAAAAAAATAAGTACGAGTTGTTAATATGTTTTGATTTTAGAACCATATTACGAAAATAGGTTCTAATTGAAACCGCAAAATTCAAATGCTACGTAAGTAATATTCAATAGCTCACACCTGCACATAAGTATTCACGATACACTGTGTGAATCAATGATGAATCCAGAGTAAATATTACCCGTCACTGTAATAAACGTGACCTAGAATAACGTGTCACATTGTTTCGTAGCTTGCATAGTCAAGTACAAATTGTATGAGTATAAAGTAATTAGTAACAGAGGATATTGGAAATTAAACAAAAATTTAATTTATTAACAACACATGTCTACCATAACTTTGTCAAGTCTGAAATAAAAATCAAATAATTGTTTTACAAAGTTTACAATGGCTAATGCACAAACCGTGCCAGAGCCATAAAGGAAAAAAAAAAAAACTTTACAATGAAAGCAGACACATACACATACTCCGGTAGCGTAGACCGTACGTTCGTAAGATATTTGAGTGTGGTGGTATTATTTGCATTCGCTACCCAAATATAAAATTATTTGGATAGATTTGACATAATGTTTGCTGAATAAAGTTTCAGCAAACATTTACGGAAGAGATAATATATCGCACAAGTGCGTGCGCGGACTGGACTGCAAAACTAATAGCATCCTTACACACGAGAAAGTTTTTAAACACCCTTCCTTTACTTAGAATTAAAACCGCAATGGAGTTTTTTATTTTTCCACCCTACCCGAGAACTCTATATATCTGCAGTATTTTCGACAATTCGACCAATGAAGCTGAGAACACGAGTAGGTAGTTAACAAATCATTAATACTCACAATAACTCAATGGTGATATGTCGATGTCAGGTGCTAGT